GCAATTCCCACTAAAAGTCGAATGATTTAACTTCGTTTTTTTTAACAATCATTTACACTTTTTCTATAAAAAGTTTCGACATTTTGCAAGCCATTTAACATTTTTTACAAATATTTGTTTTTTACTTTTATTTGTTATCAATGGCTTTGGCACAACATGACGTAATAACCCACTTCCTTACTTCGCCACATGGCGTTTCGTATTCCACCAATCTCCGCCAGACGCCCGGCTAACTCCTGCCTCCAATTTGCTTCGCCTGGCTTAAGTGGCTCTGAGCCAACGTGGAAAGTAGGTTGTTGTGTTAGCTTGGCATCTAAGCTTTTGAGCGCGGTATATTCCGCTTAGTAAGGTAGGCGTTATCGAGTGCGCTGCACTCAACAACTTGTTGCTTTGGCTATATTTTTCGCTTTTGCTTTGTGCTTCTTTTTTTTTTTAATTTTCAGTTGTTGCATGGTGGTCGTCCAATTTTGGGGATACGCCGATAAACCTGTCAATAGATATCTGGCTTCAGTATGGTTGCGTTGGAAAACTCAAAACAAGCTCGCGCCTTCTGTGTTTTTTATGCGACCGTTAAATGGGATCTGTTACTTATTTCGCAACTACATACAAATTATACAATTCATGTGATAATAACTCCCACTCGCTTTTTAATTAAAACACATATCTACAGCTGGTTCTGTAACAAATAATTAAACTTTGAAATCAGTAGAATTTATATTGTTGCCTTTCATAATCCTGGTATATCCTCGGTATCGCACTCCTCATCATTACCTCATCCAAAATTTCGTCATACTACTATAAAAAAAAGTAAGGGAAATTTGTTTATAATATGTAAATTCTTTATTTATTCTTCCAAATCCATTTCATGCCCTCCAAAGTAACGCTTTTTCCAGTCTTAGAAGCTATGGCTGCGGAACGGTATGAGTCGAGTTTTCGGAAAAAAGTCGCGCAGAACCAAATAACAGTCTGAAATGGTGCGTTATCGTGATGAAGAAACTGAGAGTAGGTAGCTCATAATTCTAGCCGTTTCACGCGAATTGAATATTGATAATTCAGAATTCTTATTGTTAAGTATGTGGCAAAAAGTGAATATAAGCCACAAAGTGAGCATGCAAGACATTATAAGAAATCCAATTAAGATTTTAAAAGAGTAATCTAGAAACAACAGTGGGATAATCAACTTTGAATGTTGTTTATTTGATTATTTCTGGTAGGCTAAATCATTATTTAAATTATTTATTGGGATTTTATATAAAATAAAGAGAAACTTTGATTACTTCAGAGAATCACTTCTGTTATTATTCAGACGTAGAATATCATAGCCTATGAAATAAAATAACTTATATATATGTACCTTAATGATCAGTATGATGAGATGAGTTGATTTAGATGATGATGATGTATATATGCGAACTAGTCCTTAAATTTTTGAGATATCACGCTGAAATTGTGAAGACGTCCTTTCCTTCGCAAGAAGCTGCTAATTTTATTGTAAAAATACAGTTGTCATACAAACTGACCTATCCAAATAAAGTTCGTGTAAGGAAGTTTTCATGTTTGAATCTTTGGCGCAAATTGTAAAATAAAACCCTTGCCGTATTATTCAATAAACTTGAGTATAGCTTCATTCTAAACAATTAATTGGCGCTGAGGTGAGTCATAGGTTAACAGATAACCACAACACTCTTTAAACATGTTTTGAAGGCAAATCCAACAAATTTTAACGAAAATCAAAAACACATTACTTGGTTCTATGACTCACTATCCAAATATTGATTTTCAATAAACAACAATAAACAGTGAGAAATGCATAGTTGGTCTACGGAACACTTGACGAAGAATTGTTTATTAATTTCAAAAGCTTTTCTATTTTTAGCGAAGCTCTTTAGGAACGTGTAATCCGTAAACCTATTTTTAGTTGCTCATCATTTCTTAAACACAAATACTTACTGTTACATTACGGCACTCCAAACCGCAGCTTAGCGTGTATTTTCATTAGTCATAATCCATCAGTGCCGACCACGACAGTATAATGCTTCACAACAACCAAAGCGAATGTGATTTTCAACTAACAGTTGTCCGAAGGTGCCAATAGCAAACCCACGCATTATTCTTGACTAGATATATCATCCAGAGCTAGCATAGGGCCCGCTGGGCACCTAAATGTAATCGTGATAGATATAAAGTTATATACATATTTACTAAATGTACTTATATAAACGATCAGTATGACGGGACGAGTTGAAATCCGCACGTCTGTCTGCTAGTGCAAGCTGTAACTTGAGTAAAAATATCGTCATGAAAATTTGCAAAAGTGGTCCTTCGTCAAATCGGGATCACGCCAACAAATTGTCAGCACCTGTAGTGCTATAAGCAAGCTCCAAATTAAAAAGTAAAAAAAAAATGGAATATGGCACAGGACATCGCAAAATTGGGGACACTATGTATTTAAAAAGTGGGCGTAGCTCCGCCCCTAATAGGTCAATTGTTAATATCTCACAAACCTCTAAACCTATATCAACCAAAGTTGCTATTGATGATTCCTTTCAGCACCTTCTCAATCTGTGTGAAAATGGGTAAAATCTGAAAGTAACCACGACCACTCCCCATATAAAAGCTATGTTGAAAACTACTGAATGCGCTATATTTTATTAAGTAAATACGCCAGAAGCATTTATTATATCCTATATGGCACGGCCGGTCTTCATAATTGGGTAGTGGGCATGTCACCACCCACCTCTAGGTAAAATTCCATACCTCGGAACCTACTCGACTTATTTCAACCGAATTTGATTCATAACACTTTGCTGACATTTCTATATTTCGGTGCGAAAATGACAAAATCAGACAAAAACCACGCCTACATCCCATATAACACAGTTATAAATTCAATCTGATTCTATCACTTTCCAGTACATAAAACAAGCTACAATGAATGTATCAGAATAAACCTTTGCACATATAGTGCCTTTGAGGTTTGCTTTCTAGCGTATAATTATATATAACTTTTTACCGAAAATATCGTTTGATCTGTGAAATATATTATTGAGACTCGGAAACAATATTTTCCTGATATTAGTATGGGTAGAATCGCGTGAATACTACCTTAACCCTCATATTTTCGAACTTCCAGTTGACTTTATACCGCATATTTCGGTCAACATGTGAGTTATTTTAATGAAATTTAGAGAAACCCTCTTTCCAGTAATAGTTTATCTTTGCGCGGATAAAATAGGGTCAATATTATATATATATATGTACATATATTAACCGTATATATCGGTCCATATGTAAGACAGATTAGGAAAATTAAGTGAAATTATAAAACTGGATATAAGTACTATAGTTTAATACCGAAAATCTGAGAAATCGAAACCAAGTCCCTGTATATACATACATATAATATATATGTACATTAGGGTGAAGCGAAAAAAAAAAATAGAGATGCCCACTCCCTTTTAAAGTAAAGTTTCGAGTTAAAATTTTTATTTCCTAAAAAATGTTTTATAAGTGTTCTAGAAGCTGTTTAGAGTCCTCTTTCTGGCCAATTAAAAATTATCAACTTAAACAAATTTTGTGTGGGATTTATTGGAGTTTTAAAAAATGTCTTAAACGACAACTTGCTTTCCTCAAGCGTTATAATAAATTTTGAGTCAAAAACACTCCAATTCGGTATTTTTTATATATTATATGTGTATGTGAAAATTATGCATTTGTTTTTTGCTCAGCTGGGTTATGCTTTGCCGTAATGCATGCCTAACATGAGCATTAACGATTTCAATGTAAATATTTGTTTGCCGGTTTCGTCGAGAGAAAACTGAAATTAGAATAAGAAAAGACAAGGTTGTCGCCGTTGGAGGCAGCTTATCAATAAAACGAGAAAAATCGCACTTTTGAATGAAATATTTGTTTATATGGAATTATGTGTATACCTACAGTGGAATGAATTAATCGCTAACAACCCTAAAACTAGTATGATCCACAAACGGAAGTGGAATGGTCACATATATATTTTAGAGCATAAAAAAAGTTATGTAAGTATGCAGTAGCATGATGGACCCAAAAACGCTCTGGCGATCTTGCATATGGTAAATAAAACGTTCGGTGTAAAATTGTTTGATTAAAACAACATGAATAAATCGTTTTAAAACTAGCTCGGTGTGCTCTCTTTTGGACTAGTTTATTTTCGATGAGTAAATTGTTGCCGCAAGCTGGTGTTTTTTTTCGAACAAGTTCGGTGTTCTACTGCGGTCGCCGACAATTATGCAAATTTGTATGTAGCTGTGAAGGTCTCTTTCATTTTCCAGTTTTGTGCCTAATACTCAATTAATTGATATCACATGATCCAGCGAGTGATTAGGTGTATATGTTAGGATATTTAGTAGTAAGGCTTGCTTGTTATGGAAATTTTAGGAAAATATCTTTGAAATTTTCGCCTTTATTTAAAAGTTTCAAAACTAAAAATGGCATTTATTTACATTTTCGAATTTAAATTGGCCGGCTTCCAAGAGTCGATGCTATTTGTTTATATTAGATGAACTACCACTGAAACTATATTACATAGGCTATATCTGTTTTTGACAACCTTATAAATGTAAAGAGTTTAAACCAAAAAAAATTTTAACTCGAAATTTTCTTTTTTAATAACCTACCCATTTTTTCCTCAGGTTAAGCAAAAAAAAAAATTGTAATGTAATACACATGTAACCAATAATTGATAACTCACCTCTCCCCTTGTTTCTTTTAGAAATTTGAGAAAATAGCATTTTAACTTTTTACTACAATAGAATTTATTTAAAACTATTTTTATAAGTATTATCTACGTTTTCATATAATTATTGATTTTATTTGTTTTTAAAGAACTGCTAACGATTTTATATATCGCTTAACACTTTATTTTAAATGTGATTTTTTAATTTTTTTTTAATGTATTTATTTAGTATATTTTACCTCCCTGTTTCGCTTGTCAGACCTTTCCATTGCATTTAACATTTACAAAGTTATTTTTATCTATTTACTCCGTTATAATTTCACTTGTTGCTTTATACACTCGTAACTTAAGTCATTATGAGTAATTATTATAATCGTTAAGGTAGTCTCTTTTAACAGTTTCTCGTTATTTAACTTATTTAATTTTTCTTTTATGTATTTTTTTAATATTTAGTTAAAGGTTTAACACAGGGTCATGAGTTTTGTTGTTTCTTACAGAGTGACTTTTGTTAAAGGATTTTTACGTTAGAGTTCCACTACAAATACAATATAATACAGTACAATTATATATTATTAATTAATATTACAAATACAGTTATGTTAAATGGGTTTTCATGTATAAAAATAATATCATTTCTTCATTTGAATTTCACCATTCGTCATTTTATTAGATACATTGATGATTGATAGCACATTTTGAGGGTTTGTGAGGTTGAAACGTAAGCGGTTAGAAAGGGATTCGAATAAGCATACACATACATAGGCAAATTAGCTATAATTAAGCGTCAATAGTAAAAAAAAAAACAAAGTGAAACCGTTATTCACGCGATTAGCGTGACGAAAAGAAAAGTATTTTAGGTATAAAAATAATTCTTGAGGGTCCGATATCCAGTCATTTTGACAATTAAAACATCGTTCGAAACGATTTTTGAGTCTGACTACTGCAAAATTGAAGAAAAAATTTTTTATTGATTAAAGTTTGATTTTGTAGAAATTTTTTTCGTATTTCTTTTCATTCGTATCAGACAATAATACCAATCTGTAAGAGTAAAAAATAAAAGTTATAGTGGTTTTTAATGTCTAGAATCAGAATTTGCGAAAACAGAAACCCAAAAAAACTATTTTTTTTGGTGATCGGTGAAATTTATGGAGCAGAAATGTGGAATTTCGAATACAATGTACATTTAAGCTCGACAAGACTAAAAACAAAATTATGCTAATTTACAAATATTAATATGAGACACACACATACATTCATACATAAATATGCATGTGTATTAATGTAGGTCGGTCATATCGAACAAATACCTCTAAAGAATCTATTAAAGCGAATTAACGAATATTTTACGCTAAAAAGTGTTGTTTCAAAAAGTGATGTGCGATAACTCAAACTGTACGCAAAATAACAAAAGTTGCCCCCAACATTTCGACTCAAATCAAACTACGACACAAATACTACATCACTTTGCACGCCAAAAAATAAACTTCAATAAACATAAAGTGGAAAAACTTATTTGTAAAGCAATCAATCTTATTAGGTTATGCAATAAAAGGGCGTTGAAATTTCGTTTCTCTTATTTTTTCTTGTTGTTGTTGAATGCGCGGGTGCTGTATTGTTGTTCGTATTCTTTTTGGTTTCCACTCTCTCCCTCCCATCACCCCCATCTATTTTAGCTCGCTCGCCCGTTGCTGACGCAGTTTCGCTCGCGCATTCAAATATTCCGGATTCACATATTGCTTGTCCTCTTCATCCTCGTCGCCCTCCTGACGTTCATGCTTTTGCGCACGCTCCATTATCACACGATTCAATTCAGCTTTAAGGCCGGCGGTGGGTGAGAGATCCTCCTGTTGCTGTTGGCGTTGTTGCCGTTCGCGTTGCTTCTCGTAGGCACGCTGCAGTTCGGATTTCTGATTTAGCACACTTTTACCCCTATTTGGAATAGAGAGAGAGTAGAACAAAAGTTTTATTAGAGTCAGAAGAAAGTATTATTTTGTATATTGGGTAATCACTATAATCGACTTGCCCTTAATACAGTGGGCTCAATAAATATCGATTAAGAAAATTGGAATAATCTTAAGTTTCTAAAGTGATATAATAGAAAACGACCTTTACAAAAGACAATCAAGATTCTATAACTGATACGAGCTGCAATGTATTTCTCACAACCTTAAGACATCCGTATCATACGAAACTGTTATATAACCAACTGTAAAAAAACCAATTTTGTAAAGATCGCGGTCACTTATTTTTCTTCCTAATTCTTTCACGACTCTGTACTGTGTTCGAAAAAGAACAACAAGAAAATATTAAGTTTATCTATATTTTGCTAGATTTTTTGGATCCACCTAATTTCTTTGGAGATATTTGGACAATAGTCCATGCCATATTTCGGGACGATATCTCGTCAAATACAAAAGTTTTCGTTACAGGGACTGTGTTTTGATCGATGAGTTTGAATGCTTTTATACCCTGAACAGGGTATAATAAGTTTGCCAGGAAGTTTGTAACACCCAGAAGGAAACGTCGGAGACCCTATAAAATGTATACATAAATGATCAGCATGATGAGCTGTGTTGATTTAGCCATGCCCGTCAGTCTGTATATATACAAACTAGTCCCTCAGTTTTTAAGCTATCGATCTGAAATTCTGAACTTTTCCTTTCTTCACTTAGAAACTGCTCATTTGTCGGAACGACCTATATCGGACCACTATAGCATATAGCTTCCATACAAACTAAACAATCGGAATCCAGTGTTTGTCTCGAAAACTCTTTCATTTGACGAGGTATCTTCACGAAACTTGGCATATATATCGGATAACTATAGCATATAGCTGCCATATCAACTGAACGATCGGGGTAAAGTGCTTGCGTGGAAAATTTGTTTATTTGACGAGATATCTTCACGAAACTTGGAATAAAATATTGCCTAAGCCAACGGTCTCCGAAGAAATTTTTGTGACTGAATCACTATAGCAGCTATATGCAGCTATATGCAATACAAACTGATCGATCAAAATTCAGTTCTTGTAATGAAAATTTTTATATTTTCTACTGGATTTTGATCGTCCAGTTTGTATGGCAGCTATGTAGGCGCTATAGTGGTGAAATGTTGGCGGTTCCGACAAAAGAGCAGTTTCTTAGGTAGATTTTAGAATTTCAGATCGATATTTCAAAAACTGAGGGACAAGTTCGCGTACATACCGATAGACGGACATGACTTAGTGAACTAAGCTCGTCAGGCTGATCATTTAGATATGTATTTTACAGGGTCTCCAAAGTTGGCTTGTGTGCCTTAGAAACTTCATTGCAAACTTAATATGACAGGTCAGGGTAAAAATATCATATACTCAAAGAAATCATTTATATTTCAATATCGGCTTTAATTAGTTTAAATTATAATAAACATTAAATTAATATTACAAAATTTAAGTTATGTAATTTAGACTCACATTTTAGTGTTAAATTTTAACTCTCGATGTAGCTGCTGCCGTTCATTCGATTCCAAACAGGGATTTATTAATTTTCTGGGCAGTATGAGTCCGTCCGCATCTTTTTGTACTCCCGGCGGTGGCGACGACATCATCATTGTTATTGTTGTTGTAGTGCGTTCGTTCGCTGCAAGTGCACTGCTAATTGCTTGTCGCTTATGTTCAAACCACTCTGGCCCAGCGGTCGGTATGGATTCAGGTTCCCGTAGCACAATCTTCTCCGAGGTCGACGACGTTGACGATGACAACGGCGCTTTCAATATTATTGGTGAGTGTTGTGAAGACGTTGCCACAGATGTTGCTGTTGTTGAGCGTTTCGTCGGACTGTCGGTAATGGAAGCTGAAGAATCTGTGCCTGCAAGAAAGAACAGAAAAGGCAAAAAAAATGGTGAAATATTAAGTGCTCAAGTTAAGTAAGAACTTTTCTTGAAATTTTTTATACTGAAAGCGTGACACAAAGCGGTCTTTATTTACAGCTTCGTACAATTTTGCAGACGCTCTGGAATGCGTAGTGGTCAGTAAAATAGGACAAAAGCAAGAAAAACTGATCGCCGCGGCCACTTTTTGCCAAACAAGTGAGTATATTACTGAGCTAAAATGCCTACAATAGTAGCAGCGACCGTCGAGAAAGATCACAAGTAACAGCGTTAATCAATACTGAAGTCAATGATTTATGACAAAAGCGAAACGAGCGAGCGAAATGTAACAAAAGTTATTTACTTCTCTTCTTTTATTTATTTTGATTTTAGTTTTTACATTTCTTCAACATTTCTGTACTTCTTTATATTTTCATATTGTATTTACTATGCGCTTTCGACACCATGGAACTTGGTGGAACGCTTTGAAATACCAATTGGCCGCACTTCCCGCACAATCGCCGCCAACAATAGACAATTGTTCAAACTGCCATCATCCAATTGTTTACTGATTGCAAAGTGGCAGTAGTCTTGTAGAGATTATGGTGAAGTATATATGTACATAATGGATTTTGACAGTAGAACACAAAATACAAATACTTTTATTAATAGCACTTAGTCCGAACACATTGAATGCCGCAGACATATCCAGCTAAAGAGGCAGCATACACATCTGAAAGTTAACGGACTCAGTGTATAGAACTTATGAAAGAAATATAAGCTAATAAGAGGGAGATCTCATTAACATCGTATATTTGGATATGCTATCATACAGCAACTGTCAAAACAAACGAATTCAGAAGAGCTCATGTTGAACTCGTGAATTACTGTCTTCATCTGACATCAACTGCAAAAACTAAACTCAAAGAAGCACTGTAACCATTCTTCAGTGATTCGGAAAACTTTCAGGCCAAATATTTAGTAAGCTGTAATGTAAAATGTAGTAATGAGAATAAGTCATGTAAAAAATACTGTAACAAGTAGATCATCTATCGATACAGTCTCATCATCTCTTTAGTTCCTAGCTTTCTTTGAAATCATTAATAAACAAGTGGTTTACAAATTATTCAATTAACAAGTTCTTTAAAGGATTCTCTGGAATATTCATGTAAAACTATTTTTTTTGAACAGCTGGCCACTTTATCTCGAAAACCGCTTGGTCGATTTCAATGAAATTCAAACGGGAAACATTTTAAAACATGAAAACCTAGTACCTGAACGAACGATTTGTTTTCTGTTTTAATTTCGATTACTTTATAAAAATTTAACTATTGTTTTTTCCCGAAAATCTGAGGCCGCCGTTTTGTTAATTTAAAAAAAGCTTCCATCATCTATCTTCGAAATGGTTACCGCTCGGTAGGAACTGGATCAATAAACAGCCTTTACTTTTAAAATTACTAATTTTTTTTTTTTTAATCTCTGCCAAGAAGATCTCAACTTTGATGAAGCTAAGTTTTTGCTTCTGAAAAATAAAGTAATTTACTGGCAAACAAAAAATGTATAAAATAAAATGATTTATTGGTGCAGTGAACCTGGAATAATGTGTGTACCTAAAAATGTTCAGAAGAGCAAGGCCAAATATACTTTTATACTATCAAAGTTCTTGAGAATATATATAAGTATCTCATATGGTTATCTTATATTTTGAGCACAGAAAAAAGGTCTTAATTCTAACTCAAATAAGTTAATTTATAATTTTATTAATGTCTGGGGCAAAGAATTAATAAGCAAAATTCTCTTGAATAACTGCAGAAGAGTTCAATCAGTAGAGAATTACGAAACCTTTATCAAATTTCAATTTTCCATTTTGCATTTTGCAGTTTCAAGCAAATTCTTCTTTATGCATATTATTTCCACATTTCGTTCCCGACATACCTTCCTATAAGCTTAAATAACAAGAACCAATGATGAGTAAGAAAGAAAGCTTAAAAGGGAACAAAAAAGCTAACCGCAAATTATAACCTGCGCTCTATCGAAGAAAAAAGAAAAACAAACCAGCGTTAAAACATAATTGAAACAAAAAGTAGACTACCGGAGCACTAAGGTACTTGTGCCAGCATACCGCATGCCATAGTGCAACAAATACCTTGCCACATTTGTCACAAACAACACAAAAGTCAAATATTCTTACGAGCGTGTCTCAGATAGATTAAGGTTAATAGTAGACAAGGCAGAGACAATTGTAATAGAACACAAATGCAGCGACGAGTCCAAAGAAAGTACGAACGAAGAACACTGGGCCACCAATTTGTGGCTGGGTGAGTACTTAGGAAAATAACTTAATAGTTTTGCAGATGCTCACCGCGCGACAATGTGGCGTGAATTTCTTTGTCGCATTCTGGCGGTGTCCATAATTGCCGCGCCACTATTAGAATGCAGCAAACGGCAATAGGCACCTATAATTGATGCTTCTCAGCCAAACACCCAACCGCAACAATGTACATACATACATCGATAAGTACGTAAGTACTCTCTTTTTCAGTATCATCACACTGTGCCGCCATGTGCCACCTGACGGCAGCGGAAGACACTACAAAAGAGACAACAGCAGCCAATACAACGCATCAACCTTAAACAATTGTTACCGCTATTCTATTGCCATACATATTACAGCTATCAGTCATCATATTAACCCATATTTTCACGCATCAAATTAATGCGGCACAAAAAGAACCGCTGTAGAGCGCTTAGCGCTTAGAATAGTGATGTGGCCCACAGACAACACAAAGGCGTCTAAAGTTTAATAATTTAGTTGGAATTTCACATTCGCAAAAGCCCTTCTCGCATTAGAGGCATGTTCTATTGTTCATTTCTTATTGCTCTGCTTTCTTTTACTACTATAAAAACGTCGCGCCAACTGACACTGAAATGTTCGGGTTAACGAGCTACACGTCGTCACTGGCTGAAATGTTAACTAGCTCGAAATGTGTGTGCAATAAAGTTCAGCGCCCGTGGTCGTATACGGGTGAGCATATTAACAGCTCTTGCAGCTTGTTTACAAAATCGCTGGCTGTTCTTAGCTTTTGGGCTTTATGAGTTTGTTTTTCCCCATTTTTTTAATTTTTATGCCCTAAACAGTGTAAATTAAGTTTGTCAGGAAGTTGCTAACTTTTAGAAGGAAACGTCGAAGACACTATAAATATATATAAAAATGATTAACGTGACGAGATGAGTCGATTCGCCTGTCTGTCCTTCTGTCTGTCTGTATATGCGAGTAAATTCGAGATATCGATCTGAAATTTTGCACATGTCCTTTTTTCTCCAAGTAGCTGCTCATTTGTTGGAAGCGCCTATACCACTGTAGGATATAACTGCCATAAAAAATGATCGATCAAACTAAGGTCGCTGTATGGAAAACTTTTTTATTTGACCAGTTATCTTCACAGAACAGAATACTATCAAAGGCAGCGCTACAGTTTCCAAAGAAATTGTTCAGATCGGACCACTATAGCTTACAGCTGCCATACAAACTGGCCGATCAAAATCTGAATAAAAATCGTTTAATACCCTTTTATGCTTTCAAAAATGGTCCTGTGAAGGGCATTATAGCTTCGGTGCAGCCGAATTTAACGTTTTTTCTGGTTTCATTTTCATTTTTAGAGAAATTTCGCAAACAAAACGCTTAGCGTTTCCAATGTTTACGCGCTTAATGGACGTTTTTCTGCAACCAGTTTTTGGAGTTCCATTTTAAACTTTTACACAAGTCTGTGAAGAATTGAACATACGTACATGTGTATTCAGTGTTCGTACTCATTCATCGCTTTGACCTATTGAGCAGTCAGCAGCCTGGAATGCTTATAGTAATAATAAACAACGCCAAAGAAGATTTATTAATGACTTGCGAGTTCGCTGATAACCACTTATGCTACATAAAAACCTACTCATACGAGTATGTACCATATACTCATATGTATGTAATGGTATATCCATTTAGTTATGTCGAACAGTTGATTTCACGTTTGATAATTCTACAACGACACGGCTTGTTTGGCACCTAAAAAGGGGTTAATTGCCCTCCGGTGATACACCAGGGTATGGTGTACTTTAAATTTTCTGAAGCGAAAAGTTGATCATGAAACTTGATATAAGTTAGTTTATTTATTTAGTAATTGAAAGTCAGTTTTAGTTGCTCAAGGTAAAAGTGATTTTCTCTTTATAGAAATGTTTCTATAACCACTAAATTTATAACAACAAGAAAACGAAGAAAATCTCTGTTATTCAACGAATTCAAACTGTCAAAAGTTGTTTGGTTGGCCCTGTCAAATCGAACACCCTATTTGTCGACGCTTCTTCTAATCATTCTTCAATCTATTCATTCGTGTACAATTGACTCTGATTCGAAATTAGTAAACCAATATACAACTCTACTGGAGCTATGCGACGTTTCCCCAATTTTGCTTATTTACTTCTTGAACCTTTCTCTATTTGAAAACATATATAATACAATATCATAACCATTTTCTTCTCATTTCAAGTGGTATCTTTTGGTGATTTTTACTGAAAATATATAATGTACCATATACCGATCGATTTGTTTGTTTTAGAATGTATCACTATACTTTAATATTTCACAACAAAGTCATAAGGAGTTAGGAGCATGGTTGCAAATAATGCATTGCCAAATAATTGACTTAAACTTTTTTTTATTTTGTAATCTAAAATACGGGATTAAAAATTAAAATAAACTTCCGGATTGAAAAATTAAAAAGAAACAAGTAAGGAAAGGCTAAGTTCGGATGTAACCGAACATTTTATACTCTCGCAAAGTCAAATGGTATACTTTTTTGGTTCGATTTAGACTTTTGGTCACAAGGTGGCATACTTTAAGCGTATTATTCACGCAAAGTTTCACCCCGATATAATCATTGTTGCTTGATATGCCTAGTGGAAAAGAAAGAAAGAAATCAGATGTTATATGGGAAATAGGCGTGCTTGTAGTCCAATTTCGCCCATTTTCGCACTATAACATAGAAATATGGAGAGAAAGCTATGCACCGAATTTGGTTGAAATCGGTTAAGCGGATCCCAAGATATGGGTTTTCACCTAAAAGTGGGCGGTGCCACGCCCACTGACTAATTTTGAACGTGCTTCCTATAAAGTCATCTCATACCATCCCAAAGATAAAATTTAATGCCTCTGGCGTGTTTAGTGCTTGGTTTATCGCGCGGGACCACGCCCACTTTTTAAAAAAAATTTTAACTACAGATGCCTCTCCCTAATGTGATTCTTTGTACCAAATAACAGTCTTGTATCTAATTGCGGAGCTTAGTTATGGCAATTTATTTGTTTTTCATTAATGGCGTTTCGTGGGCGTGGCAGTGGTCCGATTACGCCCATCTTCAACACCAACCGTCTTACGGTTCCAAGAAACATGTGTACCAAGTTTCGTGAAGATATCTCAATTTTTACTCAAGTTACAGCTTGCACGGACGGACGGACAGACAGTCAGCCGGATTTCAACTCGTCTCTTCATCCCGATCATTTATATATACATAACCCTATATCTAACTCGATTAGTTTTAGGTGATACAAACAACCGTTAGCTGAACAAAACTATTATACTCTGTAGCAACAGGTTGCGAGAGTATAAAAATTCGATCTTAATAATATATTTTAATTTGCTTTAGAATTAACATTTTTTTCAGATCATTCAAATCAAAAAGTAATATCAATTTTCAATTTTAATCCCAAACATCTGGGATAAAAAAATTAAAATCTAATTGTTAATCCCAACAGCGGTATTAAAAAATAAAATTTTAATTTTTTATCACACATTTTTTGATAACAAAAATTTATTTATTTTGCATTTTCTTAAAATAGTGTCTACCAATCGGGAGGACGTGATTTTGACAGCTTGCGGCTTTTGTCAGTGTGTTCTGTAAGGTTTGCCAATTCATCATTAACTTTGGTTTAACTTCAGGAAACGCAATTGCATCCCCAAAAATTGACCGTTTGGTGTGGATTATGGTATGGCGGCATCATCGGGCCTTACTTCTTTCGAAATGATGACAACATTCAGCGCACTATTGCTGAAATTTTGGTCGAAATGTGGCACCGGGTCATCGAAAATTGGCGTAAACAGGTGGAGATATGCAAATGAAGCCGCGGTGGGCCATTGGCAGACATTTTATTCAAATTATAATTGGCGTGAAATTATCTGCCAAACCCAAAAAAAAAAAAACAGACCTATTTTGAGGAAATTTAAGTGTTTTATTTCATTGCAATTGTACGTCGTTCTTGTTGGTAAACCCTTTATACATATTTTATTCTTCTGAAATTTTCAAGTATATCCGACAAATACTTTTTGAGTTATTCCACAATTAGCAAAAGGTTGCCAGGCGCTCTGGAACGTTCGAGAGCAGGTAGCTAGCAGCAGCTGCAAGCGGACCGTAAATGAAGTGTCAAACTTTAAATAAGTTTTTCTCAAAACAACGTTTTTTGAATTGGTGACCACTGTAGCACTAAGCCCGCTCGTTAGATTTCAATAAAATTTATACAGCTTTCTGAAAACATGAACAATTAGTGCCTGATTAAAGGATTTGTTTTCTGTTTTAATTTCGATTTTTTATAAACATTTAACTGTTGATTTTTTTTCGAAAATCTGGAAAAAAATTACTGATGGCACCACTTGGTTACTTGTAATTTAAAAGCAAAATAAAACTTCAACAAGACAGTATATAATTCATTAATGTTAATAAAACAAATTTTGTCCGATTGAGTTAGAGATAGATGAAACTCCGAATCTCCAAGAATTTGTAATGGTCATCGCAAGAAGCTTCGAGGAGAAGATTGTACTCAAAGTTGCCACTTGCTATTAGTTGCAAACGGTTTAACCTCACATCTCGATGCACACAAACACACTCACTCACTAACAATACCACTGTGTTATGAAATAAGTACCGTTGTTTTTTATGCATTTTTCTTTTTGCTTATAGCAAATCGATTTAATTAAGTGACGCTGTAAAATCGCTTGGCTTTTAAATAATTAGCACTTTTTGGACGAAATTCGAAAGCTATTTTAAAAGTTTGCTCATTTTGCTGTGACCGTGCGCCTGTGTCGAAACACTTTTTGGCTATTTCAGTGGCTTTAAAGCCGGAGGCGGTGATTGAGTTACCAAATTAGTGAAATACAAAAACAACAAGTGAAATTCGTTTTGTAACCAATAAAACAATGATAAGCAAAAATGTAGCCAAATACATGTCAAGCGCAACTAAATGACAACAGCAACAACGGTTGTTACGAAAAGCACGCAAATCGGTTGCACTCACTTTCGAAAACTCGCATGCGGCTCATTATGCCGGACGAGATGTGCGTGCGACTCATTTTAATAAGTCTGGCTGATTTATTATTATTTTGTTTATTTTTTTTTCAAATTACTTTCGGTTTTACTGTTTACTTTTGAATATTTTTTTATTATTTTTAACGTCTGTAGTTATAGTTTATGCGCCGTGGAAACGCGGCCACTGTTGGTTGCAAAGCAAAACGGCAAGTTGTTTAAGCGTGTCGTGGCAGCTGTTATAAAATCACAGGGGTTTCATTTAATGTTACATTTCAATTTCAGATCCACAAAAATGTGATTAACACGTTCAATAACACTAATAACAACTAATGCGTTGTCCGTTTATGCTTTTGCCACGCAAAATGTCGTTGTCTGACTGGTCGCGCCGCGTGCTGGTCTGCCGGCTCATTGAATGCCGTTGTGCTGCCGTTGCCAATCGATTTTGCTAACTGAATTAAACAACGGGTTTAATTGAATTTGAATGACTGTGACAGTGCAATTTTTTTTTGTTTTTCGCACTTTTTTATTGAAATGTTTTTATTTTATTTTTTATTTCCTTTAATGAAGTTGTTGCCGCGCGCAAAACACTAGTTAAATATTTAAATACTGTCGGCGTGTGCGATTAATCAATTCGATTGCCTATTTTGTTGCCCACTGCCGCAGCTTTGCCTGCAACTTTGCCACTGCAATCGCCATTCTCGGCGCTTCTGCGCTGATTCCCCGACAGATACAACACAATCCGGCCACCGCAGCAGCAGCAAGCAAGCTTCCTTTTAGCTGTGTAGCGCTGCTTTGTTATGTGAGCAGCGTCGTTGCCCCCACTTGTCATTGTCACAAGCTGACTGACGACTGACACTTTGTTGTTCTAATTGTTTACTATCTGCCTTACACTTAACATTTATTCCATTTTATTCTATTTTATTCTATTCTATTTAAACCTCACACATACGCTTCTATTTAGTTGCATTCATTTGCTGCTTTGTGTTGCAAAGCCTTTCCGTTGTTTTCACTTTCCACACGCTGCTGTGTCCGTCCGCTCGCAGCAGTCCGTCTGACATCGAGCACGCCAAAGTCACACTTAAACACGGCCGAGAGGCGCCACATGTTGCCGTAACTAGTCGTAAGCCAAGTCGAGGCGCACGAATACTCCCCGAATGCACCGTGCCGCAAGCAGTTGCAGCAATTGTTGCGAGTCGTGTGGAGCAGCGCTGCGGCGTATTATCGTCAAGGTGGGCGCAAAAATCAATACTTAAATGACGACAGCCTCATGCCTTGCTATTTCAATTCCAAGCAAGCAAACTGCGCATCGGCGCGCAGTGGTTCGTATGGGCGTAAATGTTGGTCAAATTACCGCTCTTAGTGGATAATCGTCATAGATGCTGTGATGCAAAGGGAAAGAGAATAGTTGGCCCGTAATTGCAGACACACGGTCCCAAGTGTTGCAAAAACATGGTCGAAAATGTTGTCTCTCCTCGGTAATGGCAAACCCTTATTTTTATAATAAAGTTAAGTTTTGGCCCGAACATTAAATTATATGCGATTCACTTCTTCTTGAATACTAATTTTCTAGAAAAATCACCCTTCATAAGATTTTGAAACTCCAAAAGCCGCTGTGGATAACCTTAACCCTTCCCCACTTCATCGACTACCTTTAAAGTCAAGAATAATCAAAAATACTTTTATTGATGATTGCATGGCGTAATCTGATATTCAAATCATTCCATTATTATATTATTTACACTTCTATCTATACTTCTATTATTAAACAATAATAGTGAAAACATGTTCCCTGCGGATGTCGCTTCTTGGCGCACCTTAAACATAAGATAGCACGAGTTTCAAGAAACGCCGTCATCTATCGATGGGTCGCTTGAAGAAGATGATTCCAAAGGTTGGTGCTGTAGCCGCCATTTTGTAATAAAATTTCAGTACATCAAAAATTGTATACACGCATATTTTATAAAGCTTGGAAAAGCGAAATTTGATTTATTTTTCTTTACGCCTAGTATAAAATCTGAAAGTTAGATCCTTTACCAGGACTCTAACTCCTTTTTCCGTGCCATTTTTTCTCGAAGAGAGTTGCCGCTTTAAATTTTCGAGAATCGATACATATTTTTAAGTTTAACGAGACACGCACATGCTCAACCCACTGTGCAGTTACTGATAATAAATTTGCACTATATTTAGCAACAGTTGTGCAGCACTGGGGCGGAAAATGCATCGACACACACACACACACACGTCGGTACGTTTGCCTGTGTGTGTATCGGAACTATGCTTTGAATTGTTTGGCCTAGTTTTAGGCACTGCATTTTCGAAATGCAACAACACCGTACACGAGTGCTCGGAGTCATTTTCAGGCTTACACATAATCGGTTAATCCTGCCAAGGTATTAAAAGTGAGAGTGTAATGGTGCATTTAAAGCCGGGCGAGTTGGCAAAGGCGGTGCAATCTGCTAGGTGCTCGTTTGGAGAGTGGTGCAGCGGCTGGTAATTTGAGTGTGGCACGAGTATTTTCGGAATATTCATGTCAATAACTGCTGTAGTGTTTATAAATACATTTTACTTACTCAGCAGGCATAATTCGTATACAATAAAAATAGGTTGCACGCTGAAATCTGCTACAAGTGCGCACATGTAAATACTGCACACGAATTGTCTGCTTGAACTACTAATGAAGGTAAATATTCTCCATTTATACGAATTTGCTCTAAAAGTTTGAATAAATACGGCTTTTTGTTAAAATTAAGAGATGTAAAAAACGTTAACTTCGGTTGCACCGAAGCTATAATAAGGCAGAAAAATAAAAAATAATAATTTATATTGCTAGAACTTTACTTTTTTACTACCGAAGCGATCAATGAGAACTCTGTTCGAAACTCGTTACTGGTACATAAGAAATATGTATATTATTATATTAGGTGCGCAACTAAGTTATCTCTGTTTTTTGTTTTTTTGTTTTGCCCATCGCTAGTGACAACTTTTTCCCATATTTTTGGCAAAGCTCGAATATCATTACGGTAAAACTGTTTATCTTGTGATGCTTTACAAGAATCAAGCCATTTTTCGATATCGTCTTGTGAGTGGAACTGCTTCTAATTCAGATCGTGTGACATCGAATGGAACAAATAAAAATCGGACGGTGCAATATTTGAAGAATATTGCGGGTGGGTAGGACTTCCCATTTAAGTGTTTCCAGGTAGGTTTTAACGGATTTGGCAACGTGAGGCTGAGCGAGAGCTGTCATGCAGGAGAATCACTTTGTTTTTTTTTACAGCGCATGAAGTCGCTTTTAAATGGCTTGGCGGGTGACTCTCACTGCAGAAGCAATCTCTTCTTGCATTTGACACGGATCCTCCTCGCGCAATGTCTCCAAGTCACCGTCTTCGAAAATATTTAGCCCTACTTCACGCTGACAGACGTTAATATTGAAATCACCGTCTTTGAAATCACCGTCGACGAAACCAAACACTGCTCGTTGTATCACTTGGAGCAGCACCTCCGTAAAGCCGATGCTCGCAATGTGCTTCAGCTGCCGATTTCTTTGACTGATAGAAAAAATCAACACTTCCCACAAATGTCGATTATTTGGCAAAAAAATCGGACCTATTCGCACAACCAAAAGTATATGACATAGAAAACGTCACTAATTTAGAAACGCAGTTTCTTTTTCAAATGTCTGGGTTAAATTTATCATGTTTTAGATATATCATAATCGATCACCACTAACTGTTGGAGCCATCTATTGACAAACAGCGGGAACTTAGTCGCTCACCTAATATTTGCATTGTTTCAGAATCATCAGTACTCTTGAAGATTATAATTAAAGGTATTTAGGGAAATTTTAGGAAGACATTATTATAATCTTTAGTTCTATATAAATATTACATGTTTATAATATATATATTGTACATACAGAATCAGATTGCTTCCAAGATCATAAAACCTCGGCGAATCAGGGTTGCTTATATTTCTTAAGATCATGGCACCTTGTTATTGCGCTTCTGGCTCATCTCAATTGCTAGCTACATTGAAGAAGGGCTTCTGACTTATATGCAAGAAAGTTCTCCAAAATCGCATATTTTCATCATTATTTTTTCGGATGAGTTTGTTTGAGAGAGAGAGAGATAATGACACCGCATCAGGCCTTTAAAGGGTTAGGAGAATTTTCAAAATTTTTCTATAAGTGTAATATCTAGGAATTATTCTCTGAAAATTTTAAGTAAACCCGACCAACACTTGTCAAGTTATTCGATAATTAGCAAAGAGTTCTCGGGCGCTCCGGAGCAGGTAGCTAGCAGCAGCTGTAAGCAGCCGGTGGTAGTTGGAAATTTGGCAAATTTCAATGAAGTTTATTCAGCTTTTTGAAAACAGGAAAAACTATTACCTGATAGAAGGATCATTTTTTTGAAATAATTTCGGTTTTTTATTTTTTGATTTTCTGAAATTTTATTAATTTATAATAAAACAAAAAAATTGATCAGGCACTAGGTCATCTATTACTAAAACTAATTGTTTTGTCGGATTCCGGAATTTTCATGTGAACGAGCTGTCGAAAGTCAGATACTTTGCTTTCCTCTTTTTCAAACTGAGTAAATGGGTTGACATAAAAATCTTAAAAACTATATACTACGGACTTTTCGAAAGTGTAATCAATTATGGAATAATTGCCTGGGGCGGAGCCTACAAAAATGCTCTGCAGCCATAACAAATATACAAAACCGTTTATTAAAGTTCTTTGAAAACAAATATGAAACTAATTTGCCACTTGACATCAAGAAAACTTTTATTGTTAAGGCTCTAATACAATACTATGAAAAGTGTAATTCCAAATATCTTACTAAACAAGTACAAACTAGAGCTAATACTCTAACATTACCAAAAATTAAAAAGTCAATTAGCATTAAATATGCATATTTTATAGCAATTAAGTACTTTAACATGCTTCCTAATAATTTGAAGATTCTAACATGTAATAAAAAATCTCTTAACAAAAATCTAAAATCCTGGATAAATAACTTATCAATTAAGTAAATTTTAGCTATCTATTAAGTGTTTCATTTTTGCTCTTACTTGGTATAATTTATAATTTATATGTATAATTTTGTTACGCAATATTTTGTGTAATATACTATTATCTAAGCTAGAATATTTATATTATTAGAAAATAAGCTGTTAAATATATTGTATTTGTAATGCCCTGGTTCTATGCACAGATGTTAAACATCTCTATAGACATGTACCAGATGAAATAAATAAAAAATTAATTTTACATGAACCTGCAAGGGTTAGTGATAAGTCACCGGAACGAGCTTCGGTTCAATCTGTTTGTACACACACATCTCCAGCACTTATAATTTTTATTTTAGTTTTAGCGTTCCTTACCTTCAGTCATTTTAATAACTTGAAAGCTTATTCAGGGTCATCAAAGGCAGGCTGAGGTTACAGCAAAACTTTCAGTGGCGCAGCCTTTTCCGCCGTAAACGCAAGAGAGAGAGAGCAAAATAAACAAACAGAAAAAAGCGCGCAAAGCGAAAATTCATAGTAGCTGTGCGAAACAAGACCCCATATATCAATACTTTGCACATTTGCATGTGTGTGTGTATGTGTAGCATTTGTTGCAACATCTGAGCGACCTCCAAAATTGTCAATGAAAAACCTTGACCTACATAAGCTCGTGTAAGCTTCGCAAAAACAGGCTCACAATAACAACAGCAGCACAACGCCTCATATAGTTCACACATTGGCTGCCTGCCACCTACATATATCCCTCATTATTTGCGATAATTGTTTTTGTTCACTTTAATTTTGTTGCTGTATAATATTGTTATTGGTTTTAGTTGTTGCAAAACGCGTCTCGATAATACGAGCATGTACTAGAAATACACTCAAGTGATATATGTGGAATGGAAAATATCTATATTAATAAGTCCTGCGGAGCAATTCTGCTTTCCTGGGAAAATTTTGCTCCATGAGGAAAATGGCCGCACAAATGTGAAAAATAAAATATTAGAACTTAGCATGGAAAATCGGAAGTGAGCACAAGGCCTTTAGCTGGCGAGTGGAGGTTGCTGGCTGCACACGACTGACAAAGCAACGCATAGAGCAGTACAAAAACAAAAATGTGCGGTACAACTACCTTAAATGCGAGAGATGAGCGAAATGCATACACAAATTGGGAGGCAGACGAAGCATGCCTGGGGAAATGGGAATTAGGGGAGACAAAGTGTGAGAGACAGGTTGCTGGAAGATTTTAATTGAAACTTTAAGGAAAAAGGATGGCATTGGATCTGATTTGATTTTTTCGTAAGCTTTTATTGTTCTTCTCATTTAGGCTTACTATTTAAATACGAATTTTAATTTTAATTTATAATCTATAATGCTGGAAATAATGTAACTTTTATCCAAGATGTTTAAAGAGGGAAACCAGTTTAGATAATTTAAAAAAAAAAATTTTTATTGCATAAATTGTTAGTACATTTATTCAAGAATATGTTACTTAAGTTTCAAAACGCAATTCCAATCAGTTCCGAATCGATCCGAAAATTTGTGTGATTATTCTTCATTCAAGTCCGAAAAATATTAACCACACTCTGGAGTTATATTATTAAGTAAAAATATTTTGTTATGTAGGAAAGGTGAACACAATATAATATAAAAACACATACCATTTTGTTCAAACACCTCCATAACATTAAATTTTCAACTTCTTTGGCCAGAGTTTGGTTCATATTCTTAGAAAATATGTTATTAACGAAAAAAAAAGATTAATGATTTCAGATCAAAACTGTGACCTCCAGGTGTTCCGCCAGCAATCAACTCTAATATCGACAGTCAATGGACACCACCCTCTAACTACACCACTTCCGGAGAAAATGGCATCGAAAGATTTAAAAGTGTAGTTCAAATTAGGAATAAACTACCCTGCAAGTTTAAACGAATTCTAAGTATTCTTTCTCAGTTAAATAAAATCACAAAAAACACTCGAATGTCGGCCTCCTAAACTGGTTTCGCCCCTTAAGATTAAAAATTGAAAACCGCAAATTTAATTTTTTAATTTAATAGTTGCAAATTTAATTTTTAACTTGATCAAAATGGTAAAACGCAAAAGAATGTTAATTCAAAAACAATTTCTTTTTGAATTCTTAATTATATGCTCGGGATATATATTTTTTTTTTGTAATTTTTCAATCCGATATTTGTGAATAAAAATTAGAAATAAATTTTTAGTCCGGTTTTTGTGATTAAAATTCGGTTTTTTCAATCCAGTATTTCAGATTAACACTTTAAAAATTGTTTTTAATAAAGATTTTCAGGATTACCAATAAAGAAATACAAATTTATTTAAATTAGTTTTTAATTCTTTGTCTGCAGCCGTGATCAAGAGTAATAAAATTATTGAATATAAAAATCGCTAAATTTTATTATGGTAAGCATCCCTTTTCAAATTCTACTAAAACATCCCTTTTCAAATTCAGCACAATAAATATTCTGAATCGCAAGGTTTGATTCCACTCCACTCACTACCTAAGTATACTCCCTATAACGATTCTGAATTCTTCCCCTGTTTAAGTTTACATTGTTCCCTTTGTGAGAATACAAACTGCACTCACGCACCCTGTACACTCCAAACAGTCACACCCACATATTCACATAATTCTTTTTTATATGATTAGACCGTTTACTTTACATGCGACACACATACTGTTATGAACAAATATTCACACGCTCCCTCTCCAATCGCTTCAGATTCCCCAACTAGATGCAATTTGAGTGCGAACGCTCCACACAGGCGGTGGTCTATCCAGTGTATTGGAGCCTAAACTCAATGCTTAAGCAACTCTAACTCAAATACTTCGTCTCAATATAACAGGCGAACAAAATTATCTGGAAGATATGCGCGTGCTCCCCATAACAATCACAAGCAAAAACAAGGAAAGCTACATACAAGCACTGAAAGCCAGCCAGTAACAGCAATTACCTACAGTTGCCGAGTGGTTACTTTATAGATAAGCACGAACAATGGCAGTTAAGCGAAATTTGAAGAAAGGGGTTTCAACCCCATAATTATGTGTATAACTAAATACATATTAAAAAGTATATGTATATATATAAATTTATATTTGTATATAAGAAAGCAGTTATATGTCTACATAAAACGATTTAGAAATGCCAATGATTTGTGGGAAATGCATATTTTGTCGCACATGTTTAGTCAGCAGTCACAAAGGGCGTAAGAGTTGCCAAGTACAACCAATATCAATAAATTACTGAAGAAATTTAGTAGTTACATGGCGAAAAACAAGAAGAAACGTTACTTCGCTTTCTCAAAATAAAAAAGGTCCATACAATAACTTGAACCTTAATCGTTTAGTTTTTATGGCAACTATATGCTCTAGTAGTCTGATCTGAACAATTTCTATGGAGATTATACCGCAATAATCCAGGACAAATTTCGAAGACGATATCTCCTTAAATAAAAAAGACATACCAGTATTGAATTTTGATCGATCAGTTTCTATGTCAGCTTCTTTGGAAGAAAAGGACGTATGCAAAATTTCAGATCGCTATCTCAAAAATTGTGGCGTGATACAAGTTTCGTGGCGATACTTTCTTCAGGGTACATATAAAAAAACTTGTTGAAGGTCAAAATCTGAATTCAGAGTAAAAGTTAAATTATAAACGGTTGGTTGGTTTAAAGGGAGTTTAAAGGAACAGCTGAAATGCAAATGGCCGCCTTAGTCATCATTAGACACGTTTAGCTTTCAAGTAAGTAATGTGTCAAACTAAGCTCTATTCAACAACTCGGTAAATTTGGTTAAAATCATGAGATTTTTCCACTCCAGAGCAATGTGAGATAACCGAGTTTCTAAAGGTTAGAACGCATGAGTAAGTGATATGTAATGACTTTTACTAAATTCCCTCTTTTCTAAAAAATAGCTGCATTTTAGTCTGTCCACCATCCATACAACCTAATATATTAGTGGCATTCCAAGATCTGAGCTGTACTTTTAACATTCATAGCACAAAAACCTTTGAAGGTCCTGTCTTGGGCAGCTAATGGGGACTCCGCTTCCGCTTAACTCGTTCGCTCTTTTATTTTCTGCAACGCCTAGATGACCGATGACTTAAATGATATTTACTGAGTTTGCCACTAAAAGTCTATTGATTGTCTTTTTGTCAGTTTTCAAGCCCCGGCATGCAAATATGAGGAGGTTAGGATATACATATATCTGGAATGTCGGGCTCAATTGGTCTGGATAAGTAGGAGTTTAACCTGCTACAATATTCACAACGAAATTGCGCAAGGGTTACTCCTGATTCTCGAGGCGACTCGAACTCTTCGTCTGCTATGGTGGTTTAACTTCAAATAAGCCATTCACTGGGTGAAGGTGTTAATGGCTTTACTGTTAATGGTCGTCAGTGCGCGACAGAAGCTAGTGGCTTCCGTAGTTTGGTCGGCGTATTGTTCAATTTCGTCGACGTAATCAAGGGTTGACCGATTGATGCTCTTAGGAGGAGGCTCCGTTTCGACTGCAGATGTTCGACAGGAGACATGACGCGTATGAAGCTTCTTCGGTTCAACACATCGACCAGGCGACCATATCGGTGCTGCATAGCTGTTAACCGGCCGGCCTTGTATGTTGCGAACATCATTTCTTTGTCTTTTCCCTAAGTGCTGTCAGTTAGCGAATTGAGGATTTTGTTTTTGCTATATGCTCTGGCAATAATCACGATCGTATGCCGAGTGAAGGAGCAAAGGTTGCCAAGTGTATATTCATCAACTGTGATATTAAAAATCAGTCTGTATTCCTTCATCCAATACGTAAAAATTGTCGCTGTGGATTTAGTGGGGGAGAGTGTCTGGCTCCTTGCAGAAGAGAAGCAAGAAATATCGGTGAGACGTCAATATCTTATTGTAGAATTATCTACGTATGAGGTG